TCTTGTTTGTTACCACCTAAATGTTTTCTTTATAATTGTAATTTGTTTATAAAACACCATATTATCTTTGTTTTGTATTAGAATGTGAAACTAAATAAAACCAACATCAGTACAGTTCTTATGTGTGAAGCCATATCTGTTTGTATCTGTGGAAATCGTCTGTATATTTCCTTAATTGTTGAGTAAATACATTCATTCATTTAAAATGTTGCTTGGTGTCTTTTCAGTAAAGTTCTTATGTTTTACTTTGCCCAATTTCATCAAAATCAAGAACTTTTGAGGGTCACCGTTTATCAGTTGATATGTTTTCTTTTATTTTACATTTACTTTGGAAATTACAAAATATTTCCAAAAAGTTGATTTTTGGGACTACAGGACTACAACCTTAAATTCATTCTGACCAATCAAAATGTTCATTGCCAATGTGCTAACGTAACTTTTACGAGCGTGGTATCATAACTTCTGTGAGTTTTACGTGACCTTTGACCCAGCTCTCACCCTGGATTCTCATGTCAGTTCTCTTGTTCGCTCTTCCTTCTTACATCTCAGGAACATTGCTAAGCTGAGTCCCATTCTGTCCCGCTCTGAACTTGAGACCAGTTCTCCACACCTGTATCTCCTCACGCTTAGACTACTGCAACTCACATCAACCCACATCACCCCGCTTCTCCTCCAGCTTCACTGGCTGCCAGTCAACTTCAGGGTTCATTTCAAGATCCTGGTTCTGGTCTATAGGGCCTTACATGGACAAGCACCATCTTACATTGGTGATCTTCTTAGTCCCCACACCCCCAGCAGGTCCCTGAGGTCCAGTGATCAAAGCCTACTGGCTGTGCAGCACCAGGCTAAAGACCAAAGGTGACAGATCATTTGCTGCTGTGGCTCCCAGACTCTGGAACTCTCTCCCCCTGAGCCTGAGATCAGTGGACTCAGTGGACTCCTTCAAAAAGCAGCTGAAGACTCACTTGTTCAAGCTGGCTTTTGTATGACCTTCTTCACCACTCTCTTTATTCTGCCCTCCCCACCTATTCCACCTTCCTCAGGATCCACTGAGTTCACTGTTTCCTTTTCACTCTCTCTCTTTCTTAACATTTTTTAATCACAATTGTCTATTTTTGCTCATTTTAAATATATTTTTAACTATTTTCTAAATTTTTTTTATATTTGTACATTTTTTGTTTTTGTGAAGCGCCACGTGATTTTTGTCTTGAGAGGCGCCATAGAAAAGATCTTTTCTTCTTCTTCTTCTTCTTCTTCTTCTTCTTCTTCTTCTTCTTCTTCTTCTTCTTCTTCTTCTTCTTCTTCTACGTTCAGCCAATCATCTACTGTGACGTATTTGGCAGACGCAGGCCCCGAGCAGATCTGGTACTGACACCGGTTTCAGGCACAAACCTCTGCAACCAAAGGCAAAGATTTCTGCAAAGATGATTCGATCATGGTAAACGTGTGAAAGAACATTTTTAAACTACACTTAAATGCAGTTTATACACACAGCCAATTGTTTAATTTGATTTTCATGTTTTTTTTACATATATTTTGTGATTCCTATCTTCTTCTTCTGTGAGACTGGTGGGGTGCTGCCCTAGCGCCCCCTATGGACGAGCCACCACTTTTTATAATATAGTTTAATAAATAAGAAGGCTTTCTCTGTCCTATGATGCCCCTCGATCCGGTGCAGTAGGTGAGAGACAGAAGGACTCTAGCAAAATAGCATCACTGTTAGACAATGCGTCCAACCCCATGCATGACTTTTGCAGTCATGACGGAACGGTGTCGTAGGTCCTTCCTCCCAGCAGCTGTATCAATCTACAACCACCACTGCTCCCACCAAACCCAGTAGGCAAACTCAGCACCCCTGTTGCTCTTTGCTATTTGCTCATCTTTTTTCTGCACATGTGGTGTTCATTTTGTCCTTAGTGGGAGTTTAAAACATCGTAATGTTTCACAAAAATGTTGAGCAAAATGACGTTTTTCAGCCAGCATTCTGTGTGGAGAAGTGAGATCACTGTAGTACATTTTACCATCATGAACATCCATCAGTGTAAGATTGTAAATAAGAGAAAACAAGGAGGAGCACTACTACTGTACTAATGCAGAGAGAATTGCTGGATGGACACAGAACTGAAAAATCTATCATCCGTTATGATCAAGATTAGATTCTTGTCAGTTCTGTGTGAATTTTTGTCAACACTGTTAATCTGTGAAAATCCTAATCCTGAGAAACAGAAATCTGAATAATTACAGAAAAACTAAGTTTTTTTCACTGAACACCATAGAGTTTGTTTAAAGTCTCAGCTGTGTGTGATCAGTCTGCACATAAACAGTGTGTGCTTCCTCTCCTCAGCATCAAACCACCCATAGGTCATCAGCAATGCTCATTTAACAGCAGTTATCCGAGTAAAGACTGACACGTCTAATCATTAATCAAAAACTGAATTACCGTTTTAATGATGTAATTGTGCCTCGTTCCTTATTCCATAACTTTTATGCAGTCTCTTCTTTCCGTCTGCCACATGACTCTTTATGTGCCATGAGATTGATGCCAGCTTTCTTTGACCAACCGCTCATTTGCACTGTACAGGGAGTGCACAATTATTAGGCAAGTTGTATTTTTGAGGAATAATTTTATTGAACAACCACCATGTTCTCAATGAACCCAAAAAAACTCATTAATATCAAAGCTGAATGTTTTTGGAAGTAGTTTTTAGTTTTAGCCATTTTAGGGGGGTATTCGTGTGTGCAGGTGACTATTACTGTGCATAATTATTAGGCAACTTAACAAAAAACAAATATATACCCATTTCAATTATTTATTACCAGTGAAACCAATATAACATCTCCACATTCCCAAATATACATTTCTGACATTCAAAAACAATACAAAAACAAATCAGCGACCAATATAGCCACCTTTCTTTGCAAGGACACTCAAAAGCCTGCCATCCATGGATTCTGTCAGTGTTTTGATCTGTTCACCATCAACATTGCGTGCAGCAGCAACCACAGCCTCCCAGACACTGTTCAGAGAGGTGTACTGTTTTCCCTCCTTGTAAATTTCACATTTGATGATGGACCACAGGTTCTCAATGGGGTTCAGATCATGTGAACAAGGAGGCCATGTCATTAATTTTTCATCCTTTATACCCTTTCCTGCCAGCCACGCTGTGGAGTACTTGGACGTGTGTGATGGAGCATTGTCCTGCATGAAAATCATGTTTTTCTTGAAGGATGCAGACTTCTTCCTGTACCACTGCTTGAAGAAGGTGTCTTCCAGAAACTGGCAGTAGGACTGGGAGTTGAGCTTGTCTCCATCCTCATCCCGAAAAGGCCCCACAAGCTCATCTTTGATGATACCAGCCCAAACCAGTACTCCTCCTCCACCTTGCTGGCCTCTGAGTCGGACTGGAGCTCTCTGCCCTTTACCAATCCAGCCACGGGCCCATCAAGACTCACTCTCATTTCATCAGTCCATAAACCCTTAGAAAAATCAGTCTTGAGATATTTCTTGGCCCAGTCTTGACGTTTCAGCTTGTGTGTCTTGTTCAGTGGTGGTCGTCTTTCAGCCTTTCTTACCTTGGCCATGTCTCTGAGTATTGCACACCTTGTGCTATTGGGCACTCCAGTGATGTTGCAGCTCTGAAATATGGCCAAACTGGAGGCAAGTGGCATCTTGGCAGCTGCACGCTTGACTTTTCTCAGTTCATGGGCAGTTATTTTGCACCTTGGTAATTCCACACGCTTCTTGCGACCCTGTTGACTATTTTGAATGAAACGCTTGATTGTTCGATGATCACGCTTCAGAAGCTTTGCAGTTTTAAGACTGCTGCATCCCTCTGCAAGATATCTCACTATTTTTGACTTTTCTGAGCCTGTCAAGTCCTTCTTTTGACCCATTTTGCCAAAGGAAAGGAAGTTGCCTAATAATTATGCACACCTGATATAGGGTGTTGATGTCATTAGACCACACCCCTTCTCATTACAGAGATGCACATCACCTAATATGCTTAATTGGTAGAAGGCTTTCGAGCCTATACAGCTTGGAGTAAGACAACATGCATGAAGAGGATGATGTGGACAAAATACTCATTTGCCTAATAATTCTGCACTCCCTGTAATTTAATGAGTATTAATCTAAAAGAACATTGTGTAGCTTTGTTTTTAAGATTTTAGATGAATAATTTTGAACAAAATTACAGAAAAACGGCAGAAAGGCCAAAGGCAGCTATGGGAACTGAGCCTTTGTCCAGTCATTATGTGCACACCTTGAGTAAACATGTTTATGTAATTGTCAGATGTGCGGGCACAACGCAGGACATTTTCTTATTAATATTTAGGGATCATTTCCTTTCTGCCACAGATGAATAGTTAAGAGGACAGAGACAGAGACGTTTAGCACAGACTGTTCCTTCTGTAATCAGAAGGCCTGACAGCAGGGCGACGAGCTGCCTCCTTTGAGAAGGGAAGGATGTAAGAAGGATGAGTCGGCCCTTGCTGCAGTCAGATCATCAGCCGCCGCTCAGCACCCCACTCCTTTCACAGAGCCAGCGAGACAAACCCAGCTGAGACACACACCGCTTCAGCTGCCTCGAACAACACGCTCTTTTATCCACAGCATTCATTTGAAATGCTAAAAGAGGCGCAACAGGAGGAAGCGTCTCGCCTCGGATCAAAGAGCTCCTTTGATTTGTCCTCTTTCCATTTAATCCCTCTCTCTTTCTCTCTCTCTCCCTGTGTGCAGCGGGTGCAGGCATATTCATGAAGAAGGTGATTGGCACCCTGTGCTCCAGATGATTTGGTGTATTCTGGCTCCTCCTCCTTACTCTAATTGCTCCCCTTTTTGTTCCACCTTGATCCTTTCCCTCCTCCTTTCTGTCGTAGCGCTGTGAAAACACAACTGTTGAAACAACGCACAAGAGCGAAGATAAAAGGCCTCTTCCCTGCTTTCATTCTCTTGCCTGTGCTTTCTTGTTACATCCCTCCCTCCCACCCCCACCCTTTAGATAACAGGAGCCATACTGCTTGCAGTAGGAGTATGGGGGAAGTTGATGCTGGGCCCGTACATCTCTCTGATCGCTGACAACTCTACCAATGCTCCATACGTCCTCATCGGCACCGGGACTGTCATTATCGTCTTTGGCCTGTTTGGATGCTTTGCTACCTGCAGAGGAAGCCCATGGATGCTGAAGCTGGTGAGAGAGTGAGAAATGATTAATTAGCCTCAGGTCACATGATACAGGGAATAATGGCTGACCTCTGTCCTGCATGGAGAAATGAGAAATCAAGGAGATGCTGCAGGGCACTTTGGCTAACGGTGGTTAAGTGAGTGTGCGTGAGAGAGAGCGTGTGTGTGTGTGCAATCATAGTCAAATAACATTTAGAGGCAGAGGTTTTCCATGCAAACCATGCAAATCTCCTGCTTCCCTTTTGTTTCTACAGTACGCCATGTTCCTGTCACTCATCTTCCTTGCCGAGTTGGTGGCAGGGATCTCTGGATTTGTGTTTCGCCACGAGGTCAGAATGACTTCATAACAGCTTTATACATACATGCATGTGTGTGTGTGTGTGTGTGTGTGTGTGTGTGTGTGTGTGTGTGTGTGTGTGTGTTTGCATTATCTGATAGAACGTGTATTTGCATGCCTCAGATAAAGGGAACCTTTCGCAGGACATACACTGACGCGGTCCTGAACTACAACGCTGAGGATGAGGCGAGCCGCGCCGTCGATAACTTACAGCACAACGTGAGTTCTGATGTGTTCGGTCTAAAGAGCTAAAGAGGAAAGGGTCACAATACTAAAATATTACTTATGTGTCATAAAGAACAAAAATATTTAATGTTTCATAAAGTGAAAATCCTTTGTTCTATTTCTCAAAGATCTACAGCTTTACCAGAGACTGATATTCTAAGCGTTCTTCCTCTTGCTTCTGTTTTTCTAACAGCTGCGCTGCTGTGGAGTTTACAACTACACCAGCTGGTTTGCCAGTGTGTATTACCCCTCCAACGGTATTCCTGCCAGCTGCTGCTTCAACTCCTCTGATTGCAACCAAGAAGACCTCCGCAATGCAACCGCAGCTCCGAGCAAGGTCTACCACCAGGTGGGTTTTACACACTGTTTCCTGCTGCTCCATCCTCGATGCATCTCAATGAATGCCATCGTTTTTGGTTACACGTGAGACCCCTAATGTAAATTTTCAAACCCTTGCCTTCTCCGCACATACTCTCCCACACACCCATCTTGCCCCTGATTTGCACACACAACACGTCCCTGTCTCCTTTGCACATTAAAATGCCCCGTGTGTTTCAGGGATGCTTCGAGTTGGTCACATCCTTTATGGAAACCAACATGGCCATCATTGCAGGAGTGACGTTTGGAATCGCCTTCTCACAGGTGCAAATATTTTCCACTGTCCAAAAAAAGGAAAATTATTCCGTTAGAAGACGTAAAATAAACATTTGTTGTGTTCCAGCTGATTGGCATGTTGCTGGCCTGCTGTCTGTCCCGGATTATCACAGCCAATCAGTACGAGATGGTCTAGCTGATGTGGCGTGGCAGGTGAGAGCTGACTGATGAGGTGGCGGGAAACACCAACGAAATGAAAGTAACTCTTCTCTTTGTTTTTTAGGAGATGGAGAGAAGAAAAGACGAATTTCCAAGACACCATCACACATCTGAATTGGAACTGACCTTTGAGTGTCTCTCTGCCTGTGATTTTAATGTATTATCTTAATGTAACTTACTGTAAAGCACCATTCCTTGAGTCACTGCAGTTGCATCAAAGCTTACTATACCACGCACCACGTCGCTGCTTGATGTAGAAGTTGCTCATCAGCTGGTTATTTCTCATCAGTGCAGCCTAGAAGAAGCAGGTGGAGCAGAGTTGTCTGAACCCACAGCAGGTCACCTCAGAGGGCCATCCCTTAACCCTAAAGATACCTGAACCTGAAAGTTATCATTCAATAGATCAGGTTTTCTTTTGAATTCTACTTTGTTACAGCTCATCTTTGTATATCCCTAAAGTGGTTTTTCTCTACTTAAAGCAGAAATTCTGAGTTTTTTCCTCAGAGGACAACATCTAGAGGTGGGAAAATATACTGCACATTAAGCCCCTTCCTCTTTTTTTGTAATTGCAGCATGAAGCAACGCCTCTCATTCGTGAATGCGGACATCTTGCCAGACAACAGAAATTTCATCTAACACTATCGGCTAATGCTAATTGAATGGGGCTCTATGGGACAGATGTATGTATTGCCTACATTATATCACAGTACAGGGTACGACGATCTCTTTTATGAATTTCTAAAATGTCATACAGAATTCCTTAAAGGGGGGAAACTTGAGATTGCTGCTTTAATTTTGTGTAGAAGGAGACTTTAGGTCATCAAAGGAGAAAAAAGGGAGAATTTATGTATTTTTTATAACATAAATAATATTTTTTGCCCAAAAATAACATATAAAATTGACAGAGGCAAGGAAACAACTGTGATTTTGTTGTTGTTGTAAAAGTTCTACTGTGAAATAACTTCTTGACAACTTTAAATGTAATTTTAGTCTCAAAAAGCACTTTTTAATCATTTTGACGATGGGAAAATGTCCTCATGAGAGCCCAAAATTCTTTACAACATTACGGGGCTTTGCAGTTGATTGAAAACACAGAATTATAGCATGAAAATCTAGTGCTGCTTAAACAATTATCCCCGCTAAAATCACAAATAAATGAGCTACAGTTAAAATATGGATGATTTCCTTTCCAGCGCTATATTGATCTTAAAGAGACAATGTGTAGTTTTTAACCATTAATCTATGGAAATATCCATTGTTAAAATTAATTAAATGATGCCCAGTTGTTGCAAAATACTGGCGGCTTTGTAACGTATAGCAATAAAAATTAGGTCTAAAATACATGGGGGTGGGTCTAGGGCCCAATCCTGATACTAACACTGTGCCCTAAGGTTTCGAGTGTGTCGTGCACAAGTGTACAAATAATTGCCTGATTGGCACAGGGAGCATTGCATCATCGATCGCAACGCATGCCGGGATGCTGGTCGCTGTGATTCTTTAAAGAAAAAAAACTTTATTAACAACTTTCAAACAAACAACTAAACAATTGTTTGGAGTAAATTTACTTTCATTGCTGCTTTGTCTAAAACTTTAAGAGCATCAGCTAATCATCCTAAAATGAACTACTTTCATTTGAAAATACATACTTTCAGAAAATGCACTTGAGCCTTTTCTTCCGTAGCAATGGATTGTGGGTAATACCCATTAATATGTTCTTTTGCTACGCAGATTAGTAAAAAACAGTTTTTTTACTAAGATGTGTAAAAAAAGAACAAAGTAATGGATTATGAATTTAAACACAGAATGAATGTACAAAAGAGTATGGGTAATACCCTTCGCCCAAGTCTGCATTGATGCAGACTTGGGGGCAGTGTGAATCAAGGTTGCAAAGTGGACATGATCAACTTCCGCACTTGAGAATCGGGACAACCTACAAACTCGCTGCCCTGGACGGGATCGCACAATAAAAGGGCACAAGTGTGGAAGTGCAAGTATTGGGATTGGGCCTTAGTCTGTGGGCGACTCCATATTAGACACCCATGTTTCCTTCTACGGGAGCCTGTGAGGACAAAATGCATTTACTGATTTTGTAACAAGCAGTGACAAAACTTTCACTATTCTTAAAAGTTGTTTAACACATTCACCTCTTCACTCGTTGCCAGTGATGAAGGGGAGTCCGATCTGCTTCTCATTTTGCTGAAGGTTGCGCTCCCAGGGAGTTTTGACCCTAATGACTGTTGGTAATGTCTTACACAAACACAAAATACCACTTGCTTGCAACGATTTAGGTATGTACTGTCCCCTATCACCATGGCAAATACACATTGTCACTTTAAAGTCAAAACTGTCAAAAATAGAAGTAAAATTTTTAATCAAATAATTCTTCAAACTTTAATTCCTGAAATATTTTTTTTCTTTTGCTAAACATTTCTGTTTCTGAATGACAATATACGGTATTTAGGTTTTGCCACTTATTTCTTAGACTTTGAACAGTCTTTGTAATTGAAATCAAAGCTGACGCATTTAGTTGGTTTGATGGAGTAAAATAACCCGTTTTGTACTGCTGTTGCTAGAACTGCTGTCCTGCAACCAGAAACTTTAAAACTGGATCTATTTGATCATCCAAAATACATTTTCTCTTTTCAGTCGTCTTTTTATTGCACCAACTCTCAGAATTAAGCAGAAAATCTTGTCTTGCTGATTCTTTTCCCGAAAACAAAGTCTGCAACCGTGCAGTTTTCAGCTTCAGCTCATTGGGGTCATGCATTGTTTCCTTCAGGAGGAATATTCTGTAATAACAGTGTGGTCAACACCTATGGTATCCTGTGGAGTGCATATACCTGCTGCAGCCAGCATCATCCTCTCATCTGTAGATATGTATTGGAAATGTAATTTATATGATGTAACATTTCACATTCTAATATGCTAATCAGTACAACTGTTGTGTCACAGTTTTAAATCCAGATTTTGTGCTCTGATTCCGTATTTGTTTGGTAGTTTTTAAAGAAATCTGCACTGGAAAATTGTGGTGGCTGTTTTTGTTGAGAGTAGCAAGTAATTTAGCTGTTTATGTTAGCTTTTAGTTTACAGTTTCACCCTCGCGTTTTCTATTTTTCCTTTTACAACTGTGTGTGTGTGTGTGTGTGTGTGTGTGTGTGTGTGTGTGTGTGTGTGTGTGTGTGTGTGTGTGTGTGTGTGTGAGTGTGTGTGTGTGTGTGTGTGTGTGTGTGTGTGTGTGTGTGTGTGTGTGTGTGTGTGTGTGTGTGTGTGTGTGTGTGTGTGTGTGTGTGTGTGTGTGTGTGTGTGTGTGTGTGCTTCTTTATCAATCTCTACCTTGAGTGTGTGTGTAAGTAAAAGTGAGCTTTTAGTTTTAGTGGCTCCTGCTGTATTTCTTTTTTTATTATTATTATTGGGTCAGTATTTAGTTGTGGCATTTTTTTAAACCTGTACATTTAATTTGTGAATGTATGTTTTCCACCACACTCTTCTCCAAACCATTGTTCTGTAAATACTCAAGTGTAATACCATCCAGCTTACACATGGGGGCACAAGACACCCATGTGGAATTGCACCATGCTGTCTATTAATGACTAAGTCACCATCAGTGGTCTTATTATCAATAAAGATACATAATAACATTTTTGAGGCATATTTATTTGATATGACTGCTGGTATGGTGATTATTTCATGTGAATATGTGCACACTGTAATGTTATTGTTGGCCTTACCTTGCGCCTGCTGAAACAGTCACTATGCAGTACCAACTCTGTGGCTTACTTGTTTGGAATTTTTAAAAAGTGATCATTTTGGGCTTAACCCAAGGCTGTTCTATTTTACCATTTATGATAGAATAGCAGGGTCTAAGCTTTCTAATGCAGGGGCCCAAACCGTCAAGTTATTCAAATTGTTGTTGATCCATTCATCCATTCTTTTCCACTTATCCAGGGTCAGGTCACGGGGTCAGTAGCCTAAGCAGAAAGGCCCAGGCTTCCCTCTCCCCAGTAAATTGGGCCAGCTCCTCCGGGGGAACCTCAAGGCATTCCCAGACCAGATGAGAGACACAGTCCCTCCAACGTGTCCTGGGTCTTTCTTTAGGTCTCCTCCCGGTTGGACGTGCCTGGAAAACCTCACCAGGGAGGCGTCCAGGAGGCATCCCAACCAGATGCCGGAGCCACCTCAACTGGCTCCTCTTGATGTGGAGGAGCAGGGGGTCTACTCCAAGCCCCTCCTGGATGACCAAGCTTCTCACCCTATCTCTAAGGAAGAGACCAGACAACCTGCAGAGAAAACCCATTTCAGCCGCATGCATCTGTGACATGTTTTATCAGTCACTACCCAGAGCTCTTGACCAGAGGTGAGGGTTTGAACGTAGATCGACCGGGAAATCATGAGCTTCACCTTCTGGCTCTCTTCACCATGACAGACCGGTACAATGCCCGCATCACTACAGACGCAGCAGCACCAATTCACCTATCGATCTCGTGCTCAATCTTTCCCTCACCTGTGAACCAGAACTCAAGATATTGAAATCCTCCGCTTGGGGCAGGACCTCATCCCTGACCCTTCATAAGGCATTCTACCTTCTTTTTTTTTGACTCAAGATCATGGTTTTGTATTTAGAGGAACTGATTCTCATCCCAGCTGCTTCACACTGGGCTGCAAACCCGACCGCTCCAGCGATCACGTTCTGGTGAAGCCAACAGGACCACATCGTTTGCAAAAAGCAGAGACCTGATCCTCAGACAACCAAATCAGATCCCCTCAACACCTTGGCTGTACCTAGAAATCCTGTCCATAAAAGTTATGAACAGAATCTGTGACAAAGGGCAGCCTTGGCGGAGTCCAACTCTCACAGAGAATGAACTAGACTTTACTGCTATGCGTACCAAGCTGTGACACCGGTCATGCAGGGACCTAACAGCCCGGATCAAGGGGCCTGGTACCCCATACTCCCAAAGGAGCCCACACAGGGCCCCCAAACTCTGGACGCGGTGAAAAGTTTTCTCCAAATCCACAAAACACATGCAGAAAATTGTGCGCCACAATTGCTTTTGGATCTACACCACTAGCCTGCAGGAGAGACAAAATTCCACCACTCTAAAAATGAGGATGTTATAAAAGTTAAACTATGTTGAAAAATGGGTTTTTGGGGTATGAGTTTAGCAGTTAAAAAATCCAATTTATTCTGAATTGGCAATAAGCCAAAGGGATTAAATTTAACATGGCTTCTCATAATATTCTGAAAAGTATAGAGCTCTTTCTTTGGGTTGATGGGCCTCATATGAACAGAGTGGCTTTCTCCAGGATTTAGTCTGTAACAGGCTAGATCAATTTGTCTCTTTTTAATATTTGAGGCTGTGTGTGACTGTCTTCCTGTGAGCTTGTTGAGTTCCTCTCTAGGGCCTTGTAAGGTCAACACATTTGTCTGTTGTTTTACGGCATTGGCAGTTTTAGGGCAGTTTTAATGCTGTTGATGAAATTCCAAGTAAGGACATTAATAAATGAAATGGGAATTTCCAGTGTGAAATCTTCTGTAAGGATGTTGGACTAATACTTGGTTCCTTTATAAATACTGTGCCCCCTGATGGCCCCATACATAGAAAAATCCTAGATCTGCCTCTGGTCGAGGGTCTGGTACCATGTGAATCAGGAGGCAAACGGAGGGAGCTTTGGCAGTCTGATCCTTAAACATGGTAAATGGCCTGTATTTGATATAGCTTCTTCTAGAGTCCTGGAACCCCCTAAGGTGCTTTGCAACACAAGCAGTCATTCACCCATTCACACAACAGGTGGGGATGAGCTACAATGTAGCCACAGCTGCCCTGGGGCGCACTGACAGAGGCGAGGCTGCCGAGCACTGGCGCCACCGGCAGGCAATGTGGGTTAAGTGTCTTGCCCAAGGACACAACGACAGCGACAAGCTGAGCGGGGCTCGAACCTGCAACCTTCCGATTACGGGGCGAGCACTTAACTCCTGTGCCACCGTTGCCCCATGAATATGAACTGGGTTGGACCAGACTCTTTGAGTTGCTCCAGCAACGAGTGTGGGAGGAACGGAGAAACCTGTGTGTTTTGTTACCAGACTGGAGGCACCGGAGGCAGTTCCAAGTGCTGGTTACCATTTTTAAGAAGGGAGACAAATGGGAGGGCTCCAACTATAGATCACACTCCCTCAGTCTCATTGGGAGCATCAACTCCATACTAGAATGGAAGATCCAGTTGATAGCTGACTCTTGGACTGAGGAGAAGCTGTTCCTTCTCTGTGTTGAAAGAAAACAGTTGAGGATGATGTAAGGGTGATCCTTAATACATCCAAATCGCCTAAGCAAGGTGGTTTGGGATCCCTTGGGTAGACCCAGGGCATGCTGAGGAGATCCAGGGTGGTCCAGTAATGCCCCTGGGTTTCATTAAAGAAGCTGGTAAAAATGGCTGGGGAGAGGGCAGTCTTCACACTGGGCTTCATTGAAACAAGCACCAGGAGGATATAGAAGAACATTTTATTTTAAAATTTCGAAATATTATTATAGCCGTTATTTTATACAGTGTAAAAAGTTTCATCAAAAGATCATCAGCAAACAACTAAACTTAGTTGTTCAGAAAAACATATCTGGTGCCACCACTAGTTGCAACCCCGACCTGGACCCAGGAGCAGAAAACAATGAGTAAGAGGATGAGTTTTGGTAAATGGTAAATGGCCTGTATTTGATATAGCGCCGTCAAGAGTCATGGAACCCCTAAGGCGCGTTACAACACAATCAGTCATTCACCCATCACCCCCAACCTTCCGATTACGGGGAGCACTTAATTCCTGTGCCACCATCGCCAATATTATACCCGTTTGTCCACAAAGGTTCCCTTTTTATGGAGGGATTTTTAAAGCATGAGTTCTTGTATTTTCCATCAGCATCCGTCCATTAATGTCCTTAACGTACCACCGTTGTCCACATGATGGCGCTTAAGCATCGGTGAAAAACGGAACCATGGCGGGACATAAATGGCAGCGGATGAGAAAAATCACACCACGCGCACACACAGAATCGCGCACACGCTCGCATACGCATTTGGAATTTGGATGCTTCCTCTTTCTCTCGATCTCTCTCTCTCTTACACACACACACACACACACACACACACAGACACAGACACACACACACACACACACACACACACACACACACACACACACACACACACACACACACACACACACACACACACACACACACACACACACACCGTCTGTCTGTCTGCCTGCGCTCCTCTGGATCGGAAACGACGCCGGGAAAGCAGTGTGAATTCGGGGAAGAGCAGCAGCAGCAGCCACTCGGGCAGACCGCGGCAGCAGCCAGCGGGGCTCGCTCCAACCTCGTTACGCAAATTACCGGCAGTGCGGCGCGGCAGTGGGTCCGCTAATGGAGCTTGCGTGTGTGTGCGTGAGTCTGAGCCGCTGGTTTCCGCGCTCCGCCTCGCCCTCGCCTCCGCCTCTCTACAGCACATAATGGGTTATGGGCTAGAGGGAGGCTTTCACCGGGGAAGCGCCGTTTTACACACACACGCACACACACACATACACGGAGCGGACTCCTACGCGAGACTATTTGCGCAAAGGGCGCGTAAAGCCTGCGACTTTTTATTATATCAAAATAAACAACAGAAGGGTCTGTTTTTCCAAGAAGGTGAAGTTGTTTACCTCGAAAGCTATCTGGAGGTTCTAGGTATCACACTTTATATCAACACAGGGGGTGGTAAGTCTGTGTGTGTGTGTGTGTGTGTGTGTGTGTGGGGGGGGGTGGGGGGGGGGGGGGGGGAACACCTGTCATTTTGATGCAACACAGCACCACAACCCCCGGTCCTAAATAAGACCTTCGAGCTGATTCATCATCCCTCGAAAACCGTTGACCTATTACTTTGTGCCATTTGGTTTTGCATCCAATTATAAAACTAGCTCGCCAAGCTTAATGTAAATCAGCTTGAGAAAGATGTTTTTTATTAGTTTGATTTAACCAGAAATTGGCCATGAACTAAAAAAACATGAAAGTTTTAAACTGTTGCCTTAATTTCTTTACAATTTGGTCAGCTCTTGTAGCTTTGATTCATATCCACAGTTTTGTGTGATACTCCCTATGTTGATGTAACAAATTTACTGGAATTATTCCAATAAATCAGTTTTCACTTGTTTCCCACACTTAAAAGCATCTGCACAAGAAAGCACCTATAGATGAGATCAGATTTGTTTTCTGACCACAACATCAAACATTTCTTACCCATGCCACATCCAATCATTTACGTTCTATACATAAATAAATGTTTTAATTTATTTTCTTGTCAAATCAAAGTTTTTAAAGGGCTGAAAAAATTAGATATCTCCCTTTTGTCTCCTTGGATTGCAGCTCTTCGTGAATCCCCACACAATTGCTTTCTTGGGACTGGCTTTGTTGACCAGAGACAGGCTGGAGAAAAGCCCAAATGCAGACAAACAGGTGGTGTGAAAAATAATCAAAATAACACATGAGCAGGAAAACCCATACGCCAAAATCAGTAAAACAACAAGGATCAGACATGATCTTAATAAAAACCGGGAAACACAAAATCCATGATTAAAGAGCAAGTCACCCCCTACCAGATTTTTAACTCAACT